CCCCTTCAAATTTTACTTAGATATCAACTGTTCCATTAGATCTCCAGATTCTCCACAAAACCCCACTCTTGGGAATCCTTTGATTGAAATATGGCTTGATAATAGTTTATCAAAGCTTAATTTCTGCCATTTGGTAAAAGCTGTGGAAGCCAATAAATATGATGTTTAATCAAAATAGGTAATTAAGGAATCGTTCATTTTGTGGTTGTGGGGTTGCTGCTGTTTGCTTTTGTTTTCTATGTGAAGGATCAGATGGGAGGAGAAGGCTCTGGTTGCCTCTGTGTAACCAAAGGGCAGTGAGATTGATAGAAAAACAGTATAAAAGTAGAATAGGGGATGATTTATGTATTTTGTTTCAACTTAATGAATGAAACAATGATATGATGTTGAGTCAGCAGTATAGGCAAATACTTTGATACTGGTGAACCTTGGCCTTGCCTGGGAAGTTAATCGACCTGAATATATGATTACAAGTTTTCTGAATTTAATTAATGATGCTAATTGCATTTGCAGCCTAAACTATAGAAAACTTATGCGTGAGCCAATCTTAGTACATAGAAACAATTATTTCCTTCTGTGTGATTTATTAGTTTCTGCCTTCTTCCTTCATTCATTTGACATTTTTCTTTTTAACTACCTTCCTTCTGATATATGATACCCCTTTCTGTTGCTCTGCAGATTCTGGATGATACATTTGCCTCGCAGATGCAGCAGCTACTTGGAAACGCGTTACTAGAGAAAGACCTGGATCCCCCTAGATCTATCACGGAAGTGCGATCAATGCTTTGCAGGGATATTCCCAATCATAAGGGTAACACATACTACTATTAGGAGTCTTTCTGTGGAGGCATCTATTACTAAAAACTTTTTGCTTGGAAAATGTGGAGATACAAGGTGCTGCGAGATGATATGATCTCCTTGGCCTGCTGAAAAATAGATGAAGTTCTTCACAAGTTTCAGTCAATTTTGTAAAGAGAGCAAACGACTCAGCTGCTCTGCTCTCCGTCAGTTTTACTTGCATATATTCAAACGTATAGAGCACCAGAAGGTTGAACATTTTTGTAATATACATATATAAAATATAAATATGATAAGGATAGCTTTTCCTTTCCCAATTTCTTCTGAACTTTGCTATTACGAGCGCATTTTACCTAAGCGAAAGATGACTGGGGGATAAGTTGCAGTTAAGTTAGGCTATGATACCATCATTCTACACAATCTCTTATATCTAAGATATTAAGAAGTTTATTACCAAAACTGGGTAGTACACAATAATAACTGAATTTTTGAAGCTGTGTTGTAAAGAGAATAACCAAATTTTTTAAAAGTTACAGTAATAATATAATAAAAGAAAGAATGAAAGACCTGCTCTACTGTTCTGGAGTGAAAGCTAAAAAACAAAGGCTGAAGCCTATCTAGCGTAAAGAACTTTCAGGACTGGAGGCTGTTTTTCAAGGCACTTGATTACTTGTCGTCTGAAACAAAACTAGTATGAGTATCATCGTTTATTTATTTTGGCATCCTTCAAATTGTGCTATTTAGCTCAAACGTCAAAGATTAAGCTCCCTCCTCTGGTTGACCAAGATCTCAAGTTTCAACCTCCTAATACTCTACCCAAACTTACGCTAAAGGCTACGCATAATCCATCCATAACATAACATAAAGATACAATTCCGTGGGAGATGAAATATATTGTATTGTTAGAATACTTTATATACAAGCATCTTTACGTGCATCAACCAATTATCATGTCCTTCCAAATGCAAGATTAGGATATTTACTTTATAAATATGATATTACTCAAATATTAAAAATGACGTGTCCGTATAAAATTTAGTTCGTATATTATAGGATAATTGGTACTCCAAATTGTGTTAACCCCAAGCTAATTATATATATAAACCCCGAGCATAATATATAAAATAGAATATAGTTCAATGTTAGGCAAAATCTACCTAGATTGCAAACGCCAATACAAAGGCTCACTAAAGAAAAGTAGAAAGTCTAATTCACACTCTATTAAGTCACAATAACACGTATACTTTTATATAGATTTGAAATATATTATGACATGGATATTTATTGAAATGGTAACAAATTTCTAATCATCGTAATCCAGACGTCAATACCAACGAATACATGTGCATATAAACCTAATCAAACTGTAGGGCTTAGGACTGAATAAGTTACAAGGACACGGCCAATGAATTTGAATTGCACTCAGAATGCTTCGAGGCACAAATATTTACAAGATTAGTTTATGGCATGGAAATCAATGGATCTGTAAGTAACAACCAAAGAATGGCATTAACGTTACACAAATTGCGAAACACCAAGCTGCACTGGCAGCACAAGCATAAATACAACAGTGCATCTCGGCACCAGAACTATTCTCCAAGCGACAAAGTAGACATATCAGAGAAGCTTTGATATTACATGACATGAAGTACAGAAGGCTTTCGAGGCAACCCTCAGAAGAACGGGGTTTTGATATATCCTGTTGGCAACAAACCAATAGGAGACAAGAGGTTAGTTAAAACGTAGTTAAAGAGAGGACTGATATATATTTTTACATAACGAAAAAGAATGCTGAAGCATGCAAAATAAAGTCCTCAACAGTATGAGAAACATATCAGATAACACATCATTCACTTTTACTGATCATATGCATCCTATACACAAAACATGAAAAAAAATTGTGCAGGCAATATAAAGCCAGTGGATTAATTATAAATTTAAATAGCCTACCCAATAGCAGTTGCACCCCAGGAAGCTACATTGTAAATGACTTTACTTCCATCCCAAGCTTTCCGAAGCTTCCCTTTTTTCTTCTTTACAGAGAAAGTCTTGCTAAGGGCTGAAATGATAATTCAAGATAATACATCAGACCTCCAAATCACTTACAACCAAACTTATACCAGTTAATGCAAAAAATTTATCTGTAATCAACAGATTGCAAGCTAATTAATAAAATTTTGTCTCAAAGTTATCATTAAGATACTGGTATGAAAAAAAGTGCAAGGCACCCTATCTAGGATGAAGCCAAACTCACCTTCTTGAAGTTGATTTGGAGTCATACTCTGCATAAAAACAGCACCCAGATAAAAGCATTAGTTATTTAATATACAAATACAATCACAATGTTTAATAAACCATAGAAGGCATGGTTAGAAAATTTTATCCAATTTTCCATACAATTAAGCTAAATCAGAATAGAAGTTAATGAACTGTGGAGACTAAAAGAAGCCTCAATAGCCAAAATCTTCCAAATTGAGTGGGGAAGAAGGGAGAGAGACATGACCAGAAAGCATTCATGTTGATAGTTCTGTATAGAATAACTAACTAATAAACCTTTCTGGTTTAGTCAATGAAGAGCATTCATGTTTAGGATGTTAGACAGCCATATCGATGAATAAATATGGAAATAGGAACTCTAGGTTTTCCTATTAGGTGATTGCAACTGTACAAAGCAAATTTTTTGTAAGTCAAAGATCAATATGCTGTCACTCTATCCATTTAATTTTAAGAACCTCAAAATTTATTGAAGGGCAGAAACTTTGATTACCTTGGTCTGTTTAAGGGACAATAGATATGCTGCCATGAAGCATGCAATACCATCCACTATATCTTCTTCCCTAACAAGAACGTAATCTTCTCCATCCAAATCAGCATTTTCACAATCCCAAATATCATTGTCACTGACCATGTCCCATGAACTACCTTCTTCTGCTACAAAAATTAAAAAAGGAGTTCTATGCAGTTAGGTTGTGAAGAGCAGAACATAATTCTTTCAAAGTTCTATAACCTTGAACTTCAATATGCTGAAGAAATTGGCATGTAATGAATAGCAACAATTATATATTGACATATGATAATACTTCTACCAGGCACTGTCTTAGGCTGCATACCAGCATTATTCTGCGGAGCTGACACCTGTGCACACTCCAACTTTTCAAGGAAGTTGGCACATTCAACTCGAGATTTAAGAAGATCGCAAAGCTGCATTAGGGAAGATAGACACAAAATGTAAAATCTATATATAACTTAGAAATATATGCTTAACTTATTCGGTCAATAATACTATAGAACACATAGAAAGATGAAAACTTAAACGAAGTAAAATCATAAATCTTTCGTTTATTCACAACCTGAACTATATATTTCTTTCCTAATATCAATATTATTAACAATTAACACATAAGCTGGCACTCCAATAGTGACTATCTGTGGCCTTCAAGGATAAGGCTGAGCATACTCAATTTATAATTTGGGAGCATCACAGTATATAACAGAGGAAGATTCAGATGTTTGCTGTGATTAAAACATATATGAGGTCGGCAGCTTGCACAGTTAACTTAATTCTGAATTTGATCCATGTCCATTACAAAATAAAACACAACACATGAAAGAAAAATTAAATAAAATCAAGTTATTTTACTTATCAAATTCATAATGACCCTTTACAAACAGCCACAAACATTTCTACCCCATCATACACCAGCATATATCTCCTCAACATAGTTTACACTTAAAAGAAGGTTATTCAATATCATGAGTCAACATCCACTGAGTCTAAGACAGAAACATATCATGTTAAGCTACGTCTTCTTGCAAGCTAGCAGAGCCATATCCATAAGTTTATCAGCCATACCATGGCATGCACAAGAAAGAAAAAAAGAAATTGATCTCGACTATAATGTATAAGTCAATGAATAGATTCTGAATAACCTACAAACTTAAATTAATTTAAATCGAAAGTAAAAAATACTTTGGAAGAGAAAAACACACCATAAATAAAATCACGCAGGCTTTGCATAGAATTTATGATGAACTGATAACAATTACCCAAACAAGTAAGGTTTATCAGAAAATCAAACCAATTAAACTATAAAATATCCCAGCTCAAATTTCTACAAATCAAGCATAATTTAACCTAAATCTCCACGCGAAACACCAAAGTCTAACAAAATTAAGCTTCCATATGCATCACATTATTTTCGAGCTGAATTGAAGAATTCACCTAGTCTACAAATCTCAAATTTTTCACAAACCAAAACGCTTCATTCATACCTCATCAGCTTCTGGATCGTCACACGAAACCGAAGATCCTTCGCGGCTCGGCTCCTCCTCGGAATCGGCGCCTCCATCGTCATCGTCTTCATCAAAGCTGCCGTTACTGAGCAATTCAAGGGCTCTCTGACACTGCTCCAGCACGGCCTGTAAAGTCTTTCTCTTGACACGAACCTTCTCCTTGTCTCCCTTTACCATACTCTCAAGATCAATCGCTAAAGGTTTCGAACTGGACACCTCGACTTCCATACCCTGGGAAATCGATAATTAATTTAATTAATTTTACAATGAATTTTGATTTTTGTTTGAAACCCTAGAATTACAATTCCAAAATAAAATTGCTAGTCCTTGGATATCGGGGATTGGAAATAGTTGAAATCTGATTGGTTGGGAATTGACATGTGCCTCCTTCGCTTGTTGTTTCTGTTGGTTGTGTATGGAAAGGAAGATGAAGTAAAAGACAAAAAAGCGGGGCTAAATGCCGCCGTAGGTTTAGCTACATGTTGGATTTCAGGCCTATTAAGCTAGACTCTCAATTTCACGGACATGGGTTTTTCGTTAATATAATTCTGCTTATTCACGTTTACAGCTAATTACTTGTACTTATTTGCAACCTCCAAAACTTCCATAATTGGTAAATGCCATCTAATCACACTTCACTATTGATGTCACGTAAATTATGTTATTTATTTGTATTTTAGTCTATCAAATTTTAATTATTTCATACATCAAAATATAAAAAGTAAATTAAAAAATATTAGAAATAAATAGATTTAAATACAAATATTGTATGTTAAAAACAATTTAGGGTGCGTTTGGTTCAGAAAATGTTATATTACTGAGAGGATGCGTTTGGTTCAGAAAATGTTATATTACTGAGAATATATCAATAGAAAGATCTATTACTTTGAGGATGTTTAAGAAAGTGTGTTTGGTTGGTTGGAATAAATTGGTTGGTATGTTATATTAATATGTTTAGTTTGGATGAATTAATTGGTGGGTATGTTATATAAATTACTAAATTGCTTTCCTTTTAAAATATTAATATAATAATAATTATTATTATTATTACTATTAATTTCTTTTACTCTCCTATATTTGAAATTTTGCTAAAACAACCCAGCCACATAAAAGTTTATTTTTTAACAAAAACACCCCCACCCACCCAAGCCACTGCTGGCTGCCTAAACCACCGCCGACCGTCGATCAAGAAGTGTAACAGAGATGTTCTTTGAGGGGTTTTGAAGATGAGGTGAAGGGGAGTCGATCTGTGCAAGCGAGGGTGATTTTCGGTAGAAAACGCGATCGGAAAAGCACCAAGAAAAATGGAAATCGCAGAAAAACAGTGGGCTTCACTGACAATTGGGGGTAGATCCGGTGATGGGGTTTGGTGGAATTTGAAGAGGAAAACAAGAGGAGTAAGATGGTGGTGGTTGGCGTTGATGGTGATGCCGAAATCAACCCAGATCGGGCTTAATACTGACGGCTATCCAACCCAAAAAATCCCCGATCCACAACCATTGATATGGCCAGAAAACATCATTCCAGCGATTTTGGCCGTCGGTGGTGGTGGTGGTTGCTGGCTGTAATAGTCCTCTTGGGTGGCTCATAAATTGTTTTAAAAATAAGGGCATTACTGTTTAGAATTTTAATTATTTAGGGGTAAAATTGTAATGGTAGAGTTCATGTATATTAATTTCAAAATAAAGGCATTATTGTCTATAAATTTTAATAGTGAAGGGTAAAATTGTAACAAAATTAAGATTACTATGTAATCTTATAATACTTAAGAAAATTGAAGTAATCAGATTATCTCATATATTACCAACAATAACTACTATTGGTATTGGAAGATTACCTTAATCTTATATTATTTAACAACCAAACATGATAATCAAGTAATATAATATTATATTATCTCAATAATTCGATGTAACCCTCAACCAAACACATCCTTATGGTTATCATTTCTAGATTATGGATGACGTTGTCAATAAATATAATGATAAACAAGTAATGTTATATACAAATTAAAATTAGTTATATAAATCATTTCTTCAAACAACTTTAATTTATTTACAATTTAAAATTATTTAATCATATTTAAACATGTTAATTTGTATAAATAAATTTGTACATATATATCATAAAAGATTAAGATTATTTCATATTAAATTGATTTATGAAACTATATAAGTACTAACTAATAATCTCCTAACAAATTTTGGCGAATAGTCATGCCACTTTCAAACGAAAATATGGTGACATAACATTGCATGTATTAATTTGATTGTATAAACTAACACATAACAAAGATATCGTGAGTCTAATATTTTTACTCCTGATTTTTAATTATACTGAATACTAAAATTAGAAAAAATATTTTTTAAGGAAAAAATAAAGAATAAAAGTTAAAACTGTCACAACTCGGTTAATAATTAATCAATAGGTAAATTATATTATATAAAGTTTTAATATATAATTTATCAATGTTTTTTATATACATCGTGAATCGTGATGCAATGAAACATAATTAAGACGTGTCTTTACTAAACACTGGGAAATTTCGATTATTTTANGCTGAGCTGAAAGGTAGAGTACTATAATTAATTTAATTTAAATACCGATACTGAGGTGGATTTTCTGGTAAAAGATGGCTCAAATCTTCTATGGGATGCCCTGGATGAGAGAAGGATTGACTCCACGTGTTAACCTTCTCTTGGCCATGGGTGTTGAGGTAGTAGTTGAAAAGCTTTACCTGCTTGGTAAAATCTGTCGTAAAGAATTGCTTTTTTGGTTCAAAAGGCAATTCAAAGAAGTGGGTAATGACAGTCATCATTTTATTACATAATTCTTGGGGGACTCCATGGTTGATAATCTGGAAGAAGCCATATTCCTGACAGGCTCGCGATATTTTCTCCACTAATAGAGAGGGGAAATCACCATTTTCTCTGGCATGAATTTGGTCATTCAAGTCGATGATGGGAATTGAGTTCAAAGTGGAAACTTGAGATATTTGCGGTCTTTTGTCCTCAGGGAGAATGAAATTGGGAGGAAGAGAGAGAGGAGTGGTGCTGCAGGTAAACTGGAAGGGTGCTCTCTCCATGAAAACTGGGACGAAACCAAAGGGCTGATAAAAGATTGGCTTTAGAAGAATATGACAATTCAAGAAGAAGTCGAAACAATTTATGGGAATACTAACTCTGAACAAACGATTGATGAAATAGTTGACGTTTAGAAAACTAAGAAAATATATTGTTGACCAAATGCTATAAAAAAAAACAATATACGTAGGTGGGAGAAAATCTTGGATATACTATATCGAGTTGCCTTTATATACACTCTACCAATAAATAATAACTAATTCAATATTTAATATTAAAGTTTATGGTAATTTATATTATATACAGATGGATCATGTGAAAAAATATTTAATAGATCAATAAGAGAAAATAGCTTAATTTGAAAGACAAAAGATAATCCCAATGGGAGGAGGATTGATTAATCAGTTGGTCCATAATTCTGATATCGTCACATTGCCCAACCACTGAGATGTTCCGTGCTCCACACAAAAGAGGGCTTAAATGTTTACGATAATACTACCAAATAGCTATGGGTAATGCTATGCTGAGAAATGAATCTTATAAACTTTTTTTCACAAACCCAACGTGACATTGAGTTGACATTATTACGTTAACTTATGGTTTTGACTAGACATGAATGGCCATTTTTTAGGGAAGAACGATCGTTCATCGTATAAAAAATGGTCATTCCTTAGAAATGAACGACCGTTCATTGTATACGGAACGACCATTCCATGAGAAAGGAATGGCCATTTCTTAGGAAAGATGGTCATTGTATCATAGAATGGTCATTCCTCCAGGTGGAATGGTCGTTTCTCATCCAAAGGAACAACCATTCCTCGAACGACTATTCCTCATCCAAGGAACGATCATTTCTCATCCAAGGAACGATCATTCTTCCATTCATAACGGCTGTTTCCTATGAAGAAACGACATTTTCTTGCTTCTAATCAAAATCATTTTGCGACAGCTCTTGTGGGGGCTACCAACTCAAGTGTCATGTGAAGTTTGTGAGAGAAAGTTTGTGAGCCTATCTTTATTTAATACCTATTGCTTGAACCATTTTCTCTTGGAAATATTTAATAAATAGTGTATACTTGAATTTGATTCTCTCAATTTTACATCAAATGAAGTCAAGGCATTCTACAAAACATTTTCTTTAGGGTGCATTTGGATCGGGGGCATATAAGATAATGAGAGTAATCTTCGTTTATTTTACAAGATTCTGATGTTTGGTTTGCAAGCAATAAAATATTATGAGAATCTTTTATTGCAAATAGTGTTTATTGTTGGTAATATGGAGAGTAATCCGATGCCCTCCACCCCAAGATTAAAACATTACCGGATAATCTTTTTTTTTTTACCTATTGTTTCCCTTAATTAAATAGCATTTCGGACACAATTGCCTCAAATGTCTACCAATTAACAATTACCCGACCCCTCTATATTTGAGAAATTAGCTTGAACACCCTAATTACAAAAAAGTTTAAAAGTTAACAAAATACCTTCAGCCACCCAAGACCACAGTCGGCCGTCGACGTCAGTCGTTGTAATGGTGCATGACCCACGGGATCTAACCGATCGTACACTGGTAAGGCCTTTTCTAGTCATGGATCTAACATTTCTATGGTCGTTTCATGACCGAAGATCTGACCTTTTCATGGGCAGATCTGTGGTCGTTTCACGGCCACATCTTTGGCCATGAAAACAAAGTCAAAATGATGACGGTCTAACTTCCAGAATATAATAATTCATTGGTTCCATAAGGGTGCGTTCGAACCTTAGAACCGCTATAGAACAAAGATTCTCTAGCATATACTTTAAAATAAAACTGTCTCAACATTTTAAGATTCACCCTTTGTTTATATTGAAAAATAAGTAAGCATAAACTCCCATTGAATTAATTAAACAAAACAAAAACTTCCATTTTATTTAATTGCAATAAAACCAACATAATACATATGTATTTTGAAATATTTAATAAAATTAGAACATTTCCTCTTCCCAGATATGAGATATCCTCCAACACTCTGAGAAACTTATTGACACTTCCTGCCAGCCATCCAGTCTCATCTTCTTGCTGCTTGTTTGCTAAAGTTACATGGCATTTGCAGTGAAATTTGATATATAAAAGGTTAAGACTCCTCATCCCATAGATCTTCAAGGGTCTTAAATGGTCCATGTGGAGAAACAAAATCCTCTTTAGATATCAACCTATGCTGTTGTATTTGATTAATCTTGTCATAGTCCTCACCACTTAGTGCCCAGTTAAAGATCTCCAGGTTCTCCTTCATCCTCTCCTTATTGAAGCTCTTGACAACAAAAGTCGCGCCTTGCTCAAATATCCATCTAAGACAAACCTGCCCAAGTAAATTTTAGTCTCGTCAACACAGCAATAATTGATTATAAAGATTTATAGATGTCACTTAACATACATTTTTTTTATTAAAAAAAAAAGGACCTCTTCTCGTTCTAGTACAGGTGAGAACAATTCCAATAGCAGTAAGAGTACTTAAACAAGCCTAAAAAATTTAACCAATTGAACTAACTAGTTAAAAGAAAAAAAAGAAAAAAAACTTCGCTCCGATTATAAATGAAAACTATTTAATGGAACCTGAGCAACAGTCTTTCCATGGGCATTTGCAATCTGTTTCAATGCTTCATCCTCCAAAACTCGATTAGTGCCCCAACTGGCCCCTTTAGCTCCCAAAGGGGAATAGGCAGTTATTATTATATTGTTGGCCTTGCAATATTCTATGAGCTTCCTCTGTTGCCATACGAGGTTCATCTCCACCTAAACAAATTATCAAATTCAAATGACTATTATTATCTGTACAGAAAATGTGGTAAAAAAGAAGAAAATTTGAGAAAACTCACTTGATTGACTGAAGGAGGGATGGTAGCCAAGGAGAGTATGGTCTCAAGCTTCTTGCTAGAAAAGTTGCTGACACCAATGGACTTAGTGAGGCCAAGCCTCTGGCACTCTTCCATGGATTCCCAAACAGCTTTGTAGTCCATTGGTAGAAGATCCTCTTCAGGTATTGGGTGTTTCTTGTCACTTGGTTTCGCACTAATGGGCCAGTGAATGAGATAGAGGTCAACGTATGCCATCTGAAGATTCCTGCTCATATATCACCAACAAACTTAGATTGATTAGAATTGGAGTGTTAAATAACCATTGTTTTGTTCTACTTCTTCCTCTTTTTGATGATTTGAATTTCAGTGGTGTTTATTCTCCCTTTGGGAATGCTTTTGACGCCGTAAAATTTTTTTCTTTCATTAACAGCCAAAAATATTTCCAATAAAAGCACCTCCAAAATGTAACATTAGCCTCAATCATCATTAACCTAGATAAGTGATGATGCTGGAAGATATATGTGGGTATCCTGTCTCCATAAACATTGCTATTAAGCCGGCAATATTGATTATTGAACAATAACACCGACCAGTTAATAAGAAATCTCAAATTTATCTAGGCTTTTTGCGTCCTTTTCTCCTCTCTAGAGCTTTCATAAACGTCAAAAATGTGAGTCCCACTTTTTGTTTTCCTCTGTTTTTTTATCACCTGTATTCTAGAGAATTCTAAAGTGGAATCATACGAGTAAATAATATCTCTAGGATTACACTTTAATTTCGAAAGCAATAACCAAAACATTTACTAAGCATGGATTATATGCTTGAATCACAAATAAGAAATCATAAATATGAGCTAAGAATATGTGTGTAACAACTCTTAATTTGCGATTATATATGCGCTTTGATTAAGTAAAAATCATACCTAAGAGACTTGTGTAAAGATGGGATAACAAGATCACGATGAGCCTCTGTGCTCCAAAGCTTGGTAGTGATGAATAGTTCTTCACGAGAATTAACTAGGCCAAGTTTAAGTGCTTCAGAAATTGCTTCTCCTAGAGCCTTCTCGGACCCGTAGAGTGAAGCTGTGTCGAAGTGTCTGTAGCCGAGCTTGATGGCTTCTAGGACAGCAAGTTTCATGGCTTTTTCATCAAGGTTGTCAGCTGCCGTCCCTAGTCCGATTACTGGCATCTTCCGGTCAGTGGTGGACGAACTCAGTTTCACTTCTGGGATGTTGTAAGCTGCTACAGGTGTAGAGTTTGCCATCTGATTTTGATAATTTGAATCTTAGCTCCAGCTCAACCTTCTCCAAATATATAGCAGGAGAATACGGTGTCGTGTCGATCTCAGGCAAATGGTATTTGTTTTCTGACGTGGCTCATGATCTAAGTGCTTGCGTTACAATTACAAAGATCGAATCCAATTCTTCAAAGGCTACTATCACATTCATTATTTACCATTTTAACCTTATTACCTATTTTATTTAGAATATAAGGTTTTTTTTTTTTTTTTTTTTTTTTTTTTAATTTAGATTCTGTTCTCGTTTAATCTTAATATCTTTAAGGAAAATGATTTGTTTATTTTCCAAAATAATCAAATCTAAATAAAAGTATTCGTACATCTATTTTATTAATTTGTCCTTATATTTATAAAAGTATTTATAGTCTATAGTTATATCAATACACTACTCCTTGATTTTAGGAATTCTATTAATTGACCAACAATTCTAGATTAATATTATAATAGGTTACAAATTCGGCAACCATCATGAAGATTTGTTTTATTATTTTAAAAAATTCCAAAATTTAATTCAGTCAAATTACATTATTTACTCATTATACTAGCCAGCGAAAGTACAATTCTACTATTAGGAAAAAGGAAATCTCACTATTCACACGGTATATTTGAATATGTAGAGAAATAAATTTCATATTTAATTCTTCGTATTTTATCAATATAATATTTTCTCCCTCCAAATTTTGTTGCTTTGATATACGATATTTGAATTTGTATTTTAATTCTTCCTAAGAACGATTATGATATTGACATGGTTTCAAAATATACAAAAATTAATTGTCGGTGAAAATTATTAAACTTTTTTTAACAAGGAATTTGACAAGTTTTTTTTATATTGTTTTCACATCTTTTTAGAACCATTATCAAAGTCTTTAAAAAAAAAAAAAAAAAAAAAAAAAAAAAAACTCATTCTTTTAACCAAAGAACATAGAAAAAAAATTAAACAAATATAAAATGTTAGGTTTCGGTTTTTACCTTTTAATTTCTTGATTATATATATAGTAGAACCTCTTTATAGTGATACTCTATATAAGAATAACCTCCATATAATCATAAAAAATACTGGTATTAACTTGGATTAGTTATAAATAAGAATAAATTTTACACTGTAATAAGTTATAGTTTTTCCAAGTCTCGTCTTAAGGAACTTGCTTCTACATAATAATAATTATATGTTTATTATAAAAAAATATATATTATATTACATTAAATGTTTAAGATGAAATAAAATATTTATCTAAAGTTGTTTGAGACAATGATTTATGCTTTAGAGTTGTTACTATATTTTTTATCTTGCAGGTATGTAATAAGTCGCCAACATAGACACCTTCTTGTTGAAGCCAAAATATTTCTAACTCTCAAGCATGTTTGGAGCTTCTTGGCACGAAACTTTTGGTATTTCCGTACTATATTCATCCTCAAGATTATCTCCTTCCTCTTTTTGTCTAATTCTAGTAATGATTTTTTCTTTAGTTAAAGTATATACAAGTTTTTGCTCATTTGAATGATAAAAGAAGATATTAATATTCATTTGATTAGTGTAGTGAAATTATCAAATCTGATCACTCAATTTTATTATGACTTTTTGATATCTATTTTCATACTATCATAATACTACTAAAACAATAAATTAAAATCCTAATACTACTAAAACATGAATTATAAAATAAGAAATCAAAACAATAATTCTTATAACTACACATCTATTAAGTTATAACCTTCTTATAGTAATAAATTTAGTTGGTCCCAACATTATGACTATAGAGAGGTTTTACTGTATATATATTACCTTTTTAATTGTTTTTACGAACATGTGTTCTCTTTTTATTTTCTCTCTATTTTTATTTATAATTCTTTTAAATACTTATATTTTCGGGGGAGTTAAGGGGTTTCATTCCATAAAATTTTATTTATTTTAGAAGTCATTAAAATCCCACTTTTACGAGAAGCTTGTGTTTTAAACTAATTATTTTATTAAGCTTTATTTACTATGAAATTGTCTTTTATTCATAAAAATTAGTTTGAAATATTCAGATGATTAATTCAAGTTATTATCTCATTAATATCCTCGAATGAATTCTAAAATGAAATTTTATATTTTTTTTCTTTTCTTTCTGTCAATAAAACCTTATTTTCTGTCTTTAATTACCTTCTAAAACCGTACTATCAATTTTGTGATATTTTCCAAGGTTATTCCTTTGTAAAATCTTTTGATGTTAAAACTTAAAATGCTTTTTTTTTTTTTTTATTTCTATATCTTTTATTTGAATAAAAATCAAATTTTCATTTTATGGTTTTCAAAAGTCAAAGTTTTCGGTTTACTATTGAATTTTTAATTAATTTATCTCCAAAAACCCCTTATACACCATCCAAATTTTGTTAAACGAATAAAGGTAAGATAGTCTTTTCATTCTCTCCTTATTTCCTTCATTATTTTTCTCCCCCCTCCTTCTTTACTTTTTTCTATCTTTTTCCCCTCCTTTTCTTCTTTCTGCCCCACCATCTTCTTCTTCGTCTACTTTCCTTTCCTATATTCTTAGAATTCTTTTCTAAACCGAATTCCTACCCTTACACGAACTGTTTATAAAAGAAGTAAAAGTCGATTTCCAAAGCCCTTCATCAGTTTATGATGTTTCAAGGGGTACAAGTGGTATTAACCTTAATATCTATCTCATGTTTAATATTCTAAAATGAACCTAACCTTTTTTATGGCATTATTAATTTTTATATGACTTTATCAAAGTCCTTCTCTCGTTTATAGTAGGCGCCTTAGCATTCGCCACTTGAGTCATCTCTATGCTAACTTTAATTAATTTGTCCATGTTTTGTGGTTGGAGGAAGAATAATGTGGTAAAAAATGAATAAAAATTATGTTATATTATTTTATACATAAATTTTTGTATATCTAATATTATTATATAAAAAATTGTGTTATAACAAAATTTCACATTAGATAATATTATATTTACATCACATTTTTATACTATTCTTTAACTTCATGATATGACACCACCTCAACTGTCACATCATCAAGATGTCAAGTCATTTCCCTCCTAAATAAAAAAAAAAAAAAAAAAATTATGCGAAAAACCCATAATTTCAAACCTTAATTTCCCTAAATGAAACCTTAAATCGATTTCAAATCTCCTAAAACAAAGAAACTGTAAAAATTTTTCCCCAAAAACATCCTCTAAATTTTGAAAACCCAGGCAGCTCAATCTTTAATCACAACCCGTTCCCACAGCGTCCAGCGGCCATCCCAAACCGGTTTGCCTAAGGTTCCGATGTTAAATGGTCGTCCGTCAGAAGATTACGGTGCACCACCACGACGTGTGCAAGTCGGCATCCTCACGACGTCCAACGGCCATCCGAAACCTGTTTCCCTCTGATTTCGACCTTAAATGGCCGTTCACAAATGGTAAATTTAGTGCTATTATGGAGTCAAATTTTAT